TTGAACTCGGGTCCTTGCAACTGCAAGGCAGGTAGCAGAGCCACTGAGCTAAATTCCCAGCCCTCAAGGTCATACTTTAAAGGTGATTTTTTAAGGGCGATTTTTAAAAATAAGCTTCTTCCCAGGGTAGGCGAAGGTTTGTTCACCAACAGTGTGCACAACTATCAGTGCCTCTTTTTGGAGCTAAACTGAACTTTGGTAGGGCTTGCCCAGTTTTCAGACTGTCCTTTATTTCTGATCATTTTTAACTGTTCTAAGTAAAGTATGGCACTGGGTCTGACTAGGTATAGGGTAACTACAAAATTATGCTACCCATAACTTACTGTTCAAGCCTTCTGAAAACAATCCTTCCCAGAGTCTAACCTCTGGGCAGGAAATCCTCAAAGTGCATCTCTCTGCTTTGTCTTGTGCCATCTTCTGCTCCTGGCAGGCAAGTTTCTAACAGAGAATACAGAGTTATCTAAACCTAAGGGTTACATTTTAAAAAAATGATTAACTATTAACTCAATAAAATGAGGCTCTGGTTCTTATTTACTCATAGAATCATAGTAGCTCTGACTTGGAAAGTCATTTAGACAACATCTCTCACATTTTAATGTATAGATATGGCAATCACTGGATGAGATGCTGGAATGCAGATTCTGAGTAGCTCTGCAGTGGAGGGTGAAAGGTTCCAGGAGATACTGCTGATTCATGGGTCAAACGCTGTGGTAATAAGAATCTTGCAGAAAAATATTCTCCACTTTTCTTTGATCATATATCACTGTAAGATTTTGTAAATTGAGCATGCATTAAGATATTTGTTATATTTTACACTAATGTGTAAGTCCAGCATAATTTCATTTTTATTTAAAGAAATAGCACTATTTTAGTACCAATGATCCTGATAGCACCCCTATTATGTGAATATGTGTGTTACTCTGGGCATAAGAAACTCCCTGATCCAGGAAGCATATTTGATCTATCGTTTGTTTCATATCTATGTGTATTTAGAGGTATGAAAAGAAACTAATTTTTTTAATAGTATTGGGAATTGAATCCAGGCCTTCACTCCAAGCTGCATCTATAGCCTTTTTTTTTTAAAGGCAGCATCTTGCTAAATCCCTAAATTGCCCAAGGTGGGCTTGAACTTGAGGTCCTCCTGTTTCAGCCACTCAAAAGCGCTGGAATTATAGGCATACACCATCACACTCAGCTCTAATCTGTCTTATCGCTGTGGCATTTCCTGTCACTGAAAAGGGTCTGACTTCTTTTACACATGAATAATTCCTCTAAAACAGTAAGAAGAATAGCCACAGAATACACTTTGGCAAGCCCTGCCAAACTTTAGCTTGCAAACGAAGTACTTATAGTTCACACACTATTGAAAACATAGCACAATAAAAAATAAGTCAAAGGTATAAATGGTATAAATATCTATGATGAACAAATGTTTTAAAATGAAAAGAAAATCAGCCTCACCCAGATCAGAGAAATATAAATTAAAACTATCACGAGGCATTGTTTCTCACTTATAAAAATGGTAAAAATTTAAAAGTCAAGTAAATCCACTGTGTTGGTGATGCTGAGGAAAAATGGGTACCTTCACACATCACTGTGATGATCATCATGACAGATGCTTAGTGAGGTCATTATGAATTCGTTTTTTGAAGAATACTGAGAAAATGCTAGCAGTATAATATTAGGTATTTAAAAGATGCTACCAGAAAGAAAAAGTACTGGAAGAAAATACATCAAACCATAATAAAAGCTGTTTGTGGGTGGTAACATAAGAGGTGATTCTAATTTGTCCTTTACACTACCTAGCATTTGCAAAATTTATGAGCCTGTGTAATTTACATAATGCTCTGGGGAAGAGGCGGTGACAGCACACAGGTGGACCTGCAGTTTGAAGAAGCTCACATTAAGGCATAATTGAGCCCCTGGCTTAGCTACACTCCCAGGGAAAATGGATAGAGTCATTTCTCACGATTCGAGGTAGTTATGTTCTACAAAGTTGCCATGATCACTGAATTAATGAATATGGAACCAGTGCTCCTGGGGGGATATGGGACCCAAAGGCTGGGGCTGTAGGGCTCTTGGCTTAGTGCGCAAGAGGCAGACAAGAAAGAAACGAGGGAGGGAGGGAAAGAAAGAGAAAGCGAGTAGATGGAAGGAGAAAGACAGAGAACAATAGAAAAGAAAGCGGAAGGAAGGAGGGAAGGAGAGAGGAAAGAGGGAAACAGAGACGGAGGACGGAAGGGAGGCAGGAGGCAAAAGAAATACAGGATTGGGTTCCTTCAAGCCTCTGGTCATAGTTTTGTCAACCTATCAACATATGACTGTCTTCCATGTATTTCTGTCCAGTGACACCCTACGCAGTACATACAGCACTTTCGATTAATTAATGGTGAACTCAGCCTGAGAGAGAACAGCACTGAAAAGTGCTGCAACTTACACATAAACGAAGTTTATCGAACATACCTATTTTCTCCGTGAGAAAAGGCACATTAACAGCCCCACTGGGCTTAGAAAAACTAGATGGCACCGCTGTCCTATACTTGGGAATCGTTTTAAATCATGGAAGTGCCAACAAGAAAGCATACAAACTTTAGAAATGTGGCGCTAAGACTGTGAAAGGGCTACTTGGTTAAGTTACAACAGCCAAAGCAAGAAAGCAGAGCATCACTTTTTTGCAGCTGGGATCACAAACAGTGGACAATTCAAAATTTCTGCCACTCAGCAAATGTCCACGAATTACTAGGAAAACTCCACCAGTACTAATTTGAGGGCTACCAGTAAGTTTTCAAAGTAGGTAAATTCATAAATACAGAATCTACAAATAATAAAAATCAACTATAATTACAGCTACAGTTTCAAGGAAAGTCCTTAATCAAAAAGAAAGGGACAGGGCCAGGGATTTAGCTCAGGGGCACCGCTCTTGCCTCACAAGCACAAGGTCCTGAGTTTGATCATCAGTACCAAAAAATTTTTTAAAAAGAAAAGAAAGGACCAAACATTAATATTCTGCAGCTGAACTTCATCACAGAGCTGTTTTAAAGCTAAGCACCTTATGATTTATAAAAACACCCTCCCCAGAAGGCACTTTCCATAATGGAAATGCAAGCGATATGATTCATTCTTCAGTTGATGGAATACATTTATTGTCTTCAACAATAACCATCTCTGGTCATTTACTCAGTGAAATCCAGCCAGGAGTTACTGAGAATCTCCACAGGGAGAGCATGGAGAAGAGGAGCCAATTTATCATCCGTCCCCGTGGGAGAAGGCAGGGGAGGCTGAGGCAATTCCCACCTCTAAAACAAGCCAGAGAGAATATGATCAAGGCCACTGCACAAGGGCAGAAGAAAGTGTACCCTTTTGGGACGTTCTAGAAAAGCTGACAGAGATAATGATATTTGAAAAGATCTGGAAGGATTAGTAAAATGGTAACTGGAGCCCCAGAAAGTCGTGTTCTGGGAGTCGAGTGGGAACCAGCTCAGGTATAGGGAAGGCACAGTGTCCTCTGATGTAACTGGCGGGAAAATGGCTAAATGAAAAAGAAAGACAGGTCTAATCCACTCTAATCCTGTTTCTAGAAGCTTCTTGGTTCATTCTATGCTGCGGTGGTTAACTCCCCGTCCATTGCTCACCTTCTTAACTAGACTACATATGAACACAAGCAGGGAACATCCCTCATTCTCCTTTAGCCTCACTCCCCGTGCCTTCTTCCAACACAACACACATCTAACACAGGAAAGGTCACCCTACACCAGCGCCCTGTGTCTGGCCCATCTTCAGTAAATATTTACCCACTCACTACTGGCTTTGCAAATACATTAAACCTTTAATAGGCCTGGACTGTTTTCTAAGAGTACAGGTTGTTCTCATGGAGCAAAAGGCTCAACTTTGCAACAGGAGGCAACTGTGTGGAGAAAGAAATCGTTCAGAGTGCCACAATCTTATATTACACAGTTTTATTTCCATATTTAACTAAAATTAAACATTAGGTACTTCACAGAATCTCCAAATTTTGCAACTGAACTTGTAAATGCATAAGTATGTCTTTAAAGTACGAATGTTTAGGTAATATTGTATTTTGGTCCCTTGACTTTATAATTTCTTAGAATTTAACAAAAATATTTATTGAGTTCTTGGATTAGCTTTTGAAGTTTATAATATATCATGTGAACGCAAACATTTGAGTATTCTTGCACAGAAACAATTTTCTATGTAAAATTATTAGTTTCTTTTATCGCCAATAAATTATTTTAATTATAAAAATATTTTAAGAAGCCAAGTCCAACTCTTTAGTAACTGCTCAAATAGGAACGTCTCCAGTGGCAGGAATTCAAAGACTATTAAAAAAGAGCAAATATTTAAATTTGAGTATATTTTAGGTAAAACAGGTATTACAATTCTATAGTAGATACTCTGTGGCTAGAAACATATCTATTAATTTCAGCCTATTATTTATTCACTGCTTTTTAAATTGCATTTTGTATTAGAATTAAGAATCACATTTTTGCTGGGTGTTGTGGCACATGCCTGTGATCCCAGTACTCAGGAGGCTGAGGCAGGAGGATGGCTGCAAGTTGAAGGCCAGCATGGGCTACACAGTAAATTCAAGGCCAGCCTGAACTACATAGCAAGACTCTTTCTCAAAAAAACAAAAACAAAAAAATCAAATTTTAAAGTACATACTTCTAGAGGCCAGGGATTTAGCTCAGTGGTTCTGCTGCCTGCCTTGCAAGGACAAGGACCCAAGTTTGATTTCTGGTACCA